TATAGAACTTGTTATACGTAATCACTATTTCCTCTCAGAAAACAGTTTTTAATTTAAAATGACATGCTATCAAGTGATGTCTCTAAAAAAAAATCAAGTAACTAGCTGGTGTGCTGGCCTATGCCTGTAATCTCAGTTATTTAGGAGGTTGAAGCAGGAAGACTTCAATTTTAAGGCCAATCTGAGCAACTTTGTGAGACCCTGTCTCAAAACAAAATAAAATGGGTTTGGGATGTATCTTAGTGATAGAGTGCTTGCCTAGCATGTATGAGACCCTATGTTCAATCCCCTCCCCCAGCCAAAAAAGTGCTAAAAAGACTAACCACGTTTATGGTAAACCCTTGCCTTTAATTTGTAAGTCAACTAAATTTATTGTCGTTTTTTCTTACTTTATGGATGGTAATATACACTCGGAAGAAAAGGCAGGCCTAAAAACAAAGTCGTGTATTATGAATACTTTTTTAGTGATTTCCTCAAATCTCCAGATTATAAGAAAAATATGACATTTAATAGAAAATAAATAGCCTGTACATGTAGTGACAACTGCCTCATATATCAAAATGCCACTTTCCTTTCTTTCTTTCTTTTTTCTTTTGTGGTTATTAACTGTTTCAAAGAGGTTAAATATTTTAAAATCTAAAATGAAAACTCATAAAAAACACTGAAAGGCACAGTATGCCTTAAATGAGTTTTCTTGGTTTCATAAGCTTTTCTTATTTCTCCTTCACAGAGAGCTTCGAAATTAAAATTAGCATTTGAAAAAAAATCATTTAAATTTCTGTTTAGTCGTTATGCTGTACAGGTGCAATTCTGAATGAAATAAATTTACCATCTATTGTCTCAATTTTGACAAGTTTACAATTATACTAACAAAAAGGTGACATATCTTTCACAAATAGAAACTTCTGTTGGAGAAAAAAATCTTAAACATAAAATCCATTTCCATAAATAAATGCAAACAACATACTTCCTCTCTTTTATACTAATATTACACCATTATGTAAAGCTGTTAATATTATTCCTGGTAGCATCAGAAAGAAATAAAATAAAGGAGTCACTCAGTCATTACTGACTTTCTCTATAAGACCAGACTACATGATAGGGATAAAAAATAAGATCTACTCCAACCAGGAGTATAATGCTTAGTAGAATACATAAACCATATAACAATACAGAATGTGACAAAATACAAAAGGAGAAATGCATTTAAATGAAGAGTCAGGACAGCATGAAAGCATAAGAAATTCTGTTTCCACTTATGTGTAAGCTCTCTGGCCATGTTTGTTCCATGGGTGCTGGATGATAACTAGCTCTTAGCATAGTATCAGGCACATGTTAAGCAGTCAATAAATATTCAAGGAAAAAAATGGAAACAATGCTTCATATAGAAAGTGATAACAGACATGAATGTCAAAAGACACATAGAAGTTAAACAGACAAAAAAAGAAGAGTACTCCAAACAGAATAACAGAATGGAAAACACACACCTTTTAACAATTTACCTTTCAGCATTTTACCCACAATATTTTTTTATAAGTTAACATTTACCCAGCTAAAATATCTTAATTTTAAAGAAACAAAATAAATAAAAAGAACTCCAGTACCACGGCATACCTCTCAATGGTCTCTGAGTATTGTAAGTTCAGTCTTAATTACCACAAATGAAACCAAGTATAATACTCACAAAAATAACCTACAGCTCCGAACAAACAGAAATAAAGTATGTATAACCAAACACCATTAAGTTAGATCTAATTAAACTCCATTTTAAAATTAATTTAATAAAATCTAATTTAGTAAAGTTAACTTTATAATAGTCACACTGAAGAAAGAATATAATCTAAGACAGAAATATAGAAAAGAAACTTGATGCCTAAACAATAGCAAAAAAGTCAGTTGTCAGTCTATGTCTGATTACTGTTATCCCAAGTTCTGAGCATGTGATCTTTTGATTCATGGTTTAAGTCAATGATAAATATTTGCTGTGGGTTTGATCAGGCTACTGTGGCTTCACAAAATTTTCTTAAAAGGACCGGTAATAATACATTAAGCTTGTGGGCCACATAACCTGTCACAACTATTTAATTCTGCTATTGTAGCATAAATGTAGGCACAGAATGTTTATAGCTGGATTCTAGGAAATCTTAATTTAAGAAAACTGGCATTTGTCACATATCTACAGTTTACCCACCTTGTCTTAGGTCTCAAAGCAACTTCTAAATAATTCTTTTTATTGAGGGGTTTGGATGTAGTGCTGTGTTAACAACTTAAGCTTATCATGAGCAAGGCCCTGGATGAAATCTCCAGTAGCAGCAGTAACAACAACAACAATAATAATACTAGTAATTCTTTTACTGAGACAGCTTTACTTTCTTTCAAAGAAAGGCTTTTACATAATTTACACATACCTAGAAGGCAGATCTTATCTTGTAACACAGATGAAGAAACCGAAATTCAAAGGAGTTGAATGACTTAAGAACTACTAGCACAGCTTAGTTGAACTAAGACAACCTTTTTATTTTTTTATTTTTGGCAGTGCTGGAGATCAAACCCAGGGCCTAGAACATGCTAAGCAAACAGTGTACTACTGAGCTACCTCCACAACCTTGAGACAACTCTTGTTCTTTTGATGACTCTTAAGGATTTTCCTCTACACTCAATCCTCCAATGCACCAACTTAAACATTTCAATCATTTTTAGAATTCTCTCCTGAATCCCTGAACTCTTTTTAGCAGACTCAAGACAGAGTATATTTCAAGAACAAAGACTTTTCTGTCCATTCATTTACTTCAATTCTGAGATCAAATTATTCTCAACTCCCTTCTCTTTATATGATCCTCAGCTTCCCCCATTTAAGCTACCTTCTTGTTCATAAGTCTTCTAAAATATCAATTACTATTTAGTTAGCCAGAAATAAAAAGTGGTTTTGTAGACTATTTTAATTTATTAAGAATTTTTGGGGGCTGGGGATATAGCTCAGTTGGTAGAGTGTTTGCTTAGCATGCTAAATACCCTGGGTTCAATCCCCAGCACACCAAAAAAAAAAAAAAAAAAAAAAATTTTGTACTCAGTAATGTAAATGAGGCAACTAAGTCCAGTGCCTGACAGGTATTGAAAAATGCCTGATATATAAACATGAAACTAAGGAGCAATAAAACAAAGAAACGAGGAAATATAATTTACAGTACATACAATACAGATGTACCTTATATGAGGTTTACATAATGCTCTGAATTTTGCATAAATTTTAATAAATACTTAATAACTACAAGTACCTCTTGACATTGTAATAATACAGTTGTTACTGCCATGAAAAAACTTATATTATTAATTCCTTGGCCAAAAACAACTATCAAAGATAGACACAGTACAGAATATTCTAATTTCATTGTAGTTTGCACTGAAAATGTGATCATGCACACTGAAACTGCAAAGTAATCTCTTATTTTTTAAACATTTTTTTTAGTTGGTGACAGACCTTTATTTTATTTATTTATATGTGGTGCTGAGAATCGAACCCAGTGTCTCACTGGGTGCGCTTCCACTGAGCCACACCCCTATCCCCACAAAGTAATCTTAGTTAATGAAAAAAACTACAATTACTGCATGATCTTTAAGATTTATTGTCAAAATGTAAAATAACTGTTATAAATTTATATAGGAAAATAAAAAATAAAAATAATTATTATATTGTAATTTTAAAATATTAGAAACATTGATTAGAATGTTTTATTTATTCTTAAGCCTGGGTGAACTGGAGTATTTCTATGTTGTAATCAACTTTCACCATTTTATCATTTGTATTTTCAGTATCATGGGCTATCTCTGAGTATTCCTTTAATATGAACATCAACAACATCATTTATTCTGGAACTCCTTCATCCTTTATGTCAAATCTACTTTCCTTATTTATGCTAATGAGTTCACCTCATTTAGTTCCTCTGGCTGCATATCCAGTCTCTTGAAAGGCAGCTATCTCAACTTTTCCAGAGCCAGATACTACCCAGTTACCTTCTACTTTCCAATACACAATTTTTTGGCTGCATTTATGTTCCCTTGCCAATTCCCTCTTTTTTGTTTATAAAATGTTACATGGGCTTATTGTTGGAAACAAGGAAACATTATATCTGCATGCTTTGCTGTCTATGGACAACATGAATAACTAATGCATAGTGACAAATCACTGACAGACAATGTAAAAAGCAATATGATTTGTCACTGATCATGAACACATCCACTGTTATGTAATGATTCTTGGACTAAACAGCCAGCAATAAAATTTGTACTTTATGTAACTAATTATAGTTAATATACCATGGTAACTGAAATTTGAACTATAAGGTCAGTGAACTAGTATTATCTAATTGAATCACAGTAACTGAAATACAGGAATCATGTGAAGTAAGGAGTATATTTAAACCAACCCTGTGAAGGCAGTAGAGGGAAATCAACACAGGCAATATTAAGGATTTATGATCTCCAAAAGATGGAGAACACAGAGATGAGTTTCATGCTCCTCTCATCTACTTCTGTGAAGGTATTTTATAAACCACAGAGAATAGCAGACACAGTAATGCAAGCATAAAGAAAGTCTGCTGTTCTGAGAAAGCATAGACTGAAGTTGGATCTGTGCCCAAGTAGAGGGTATCATGGTAAACACATCCACAGTTTCCAGCTGTGATCCCAGAAGGGTAATACCTAAGGAATGAGGAAGAAATACTACCAGTAATGGCATTTTCTTCAGAAGCTACAACAAAGTTTATGTTGTCTTAAGTCACAGAATAAGTTACTTAAGTCTAGTGCTAGAGAATTCATGAACAGAGGAACACTGGGAGAGTATAATATAAGGTATGACTAAAAGTAGCCACTGTGAAAATTTGGGCAAGAAGGCTAGAATTAACTTGAACCACCAATTCTAAAATATATCACTTGTTTACATGGTTATGGTTTTATCATGTTTTATAAAGTGGTACTCTGAAATTAAAAACTGCTATAGTTACCATTTTGTAGTCCCATCCAAAGCTGCTTATGATCTTTTTTCTGCATTTCATTGATTACTTGACTTTTATGCTTTAAAGCATCAGCTTCTTTCATACAAGACATAAAATGAGCTTCAATTGCATCCTTAGATGGACAGTGCAGAAGGTCTTTCTCTGGAAAACTCTATCAAAGGGGGAAAAAAACATATAAAAACAGATATACACACCACAATTTTGCCTTTATAAAGAGAACTGTATCCCTGAATTTTCCAATATTTACCTTCACAATAACCACAAATACTTCTTTAACTTAACTTTAAAATCATTAGCTATTTGTCACATTTTGTACTTTTCCCAAATAATTCTTACATATATTTGTAATAACACAGAAAAGGGGTGCAATAATTTAAAAAACAGCTTTTCAACTGACCACATCAAGAGTTGAAAGGATGTAGAATGGGACTCCCTCATACCAATGATGGGAATGTAAAATAGTGTAACTAGTTTGGAGAAGTTGGTAGTTCTTCTACCAACTTAAAAAAGGTTGGTAGTCCTTAAAAAGGGTAACCACAAACCTACCATCTGAACCAGTCATTTTACAACTATGTATTTAAGAGAAATTAAAGTATATCCCTATACAAAGACTTGTACATAAATGTTAACAACAACTTTATTTTAATAGCCCAAATAATCAACAAGTGAATACATAAAGTATGGTATAAACTTTTATTAAAGTATATACTGTATGTTGAGTTTACTATTCATCAATTACCTCAATAAAATTGTTTAAAAGTTGTTCTTAAAGTAAAATGGCTAAAGTCACATTCTATGACTTCACTTGATATAATACAAGTGTATCGACCATTACATTCAAAGTAATCAGCATTGTTATTTCTATTTAAGTTGGTTATTTCTATTTAAGTTCAATTGCTTTCCATTCCAAGCCTATAAAGCAACCACTAAAACCTAAAGTCACAGAATTAGAAAAGAAGTTCAGTGTATTATAAACATAAGACACAATTTTTAATAATTTCTAGAAAATGTTAATTTTGGTATAATTAATCTATAAATTTAAAATTGTTTTTCAATTTCAAAACAAAGATACAATTTTTATTTGTCATTTTAAAAACTGAGCCTTGAGTTGGGAATATAGCTCAATGTAGTACACTTGCTACTATGTCTGAGGCCATGGATAGATCTCCAGAACCACAAAACATACAAATAAAAATAAAAGTAAACTCTAAAATTATCTTTTAGATATCATTCATTCTCTAGCCTATTGCTTATAGTTTGATATTATAAATGAGTGGCTGAAAATATAAATGATCTTATTCCAAAGGAAAAAAAATTTGCCTATTTAAGTACTACTCATATATTTCTTAAAATTTTATGTACAAGTTGATTATGGGAGGGGGAAGCAGTTAGATTTCTCAAAACAGTGGTTGGAGAAGCCTCGAATAAAACACCATTGGGGGTAACTTTTGCTTAGCCTAGCTACTCATCACAACACTACCTATGCTTAAAGAATGTCTCACAACTATAAATGATAGCTTACAACTATAAATGAACACACTTTATAGCAAAAGAAAGTTCTATCAAGAGTGTGCAGATATTTTGTGTATACCCTTAATAGAATGTCCACCTCTATATATACGAAGGCAGTGAGGTCATAAATTATACGAAGTTAAGGGAAACAAGAGCAATAGCAGAAAAAGGAGAGGTCTGCCTAAGCAGCCAAAGCAGTTAAATTGATTGTGGCAAAGAAGAAAGTGATAGATGTCTTAGCTTAAGCCCCACAGCTTCTACTCATGAAATGCTCCTCTTTCTATGATTAGCTTGAGATGGGAATGGAAAGTCTTTTTATAAAACTTCACAATGAAACTAAAAACAGACCCTTGATTCATTACATTTCTAATCTTTTCTAACGTGCATTAGCCATTGTATATAAGTGCATTTATTTTCAATCCAAACAAATTCTTCTAGATAAAGGTGGTAACTCAGACATCATGTTTACTCTCTTTCATTAATCTTCCAAGTCAGATCCACAATAAATCAAATTTAATTTCACTTTTACAAAAGTAATCTGAAAAGTCCCATTTACTTAGATATTATTACTTGTATTGTTTAATTAAAATATTAATCCAGACTGTTTGGAATGTGTCCAGATGCATTAGAGAGAATGAATAATGTTAAAAGAAAGAAAAAAGGCATTCAACTTATTAGTAACACTGCAGACACAGGGTACTCTGTTAAAACAATAAAGCAAAGCCAAAAATGCATTTTCCTTGTCACCTCTGAAAAATCCAACATCTGATTAAACAAGCTGAAGTTGCCAAAGCATAGCAATGTTATTACTGAGTTACCTCTAAAAGTTGGTTCAACATTTAGACAGAAAAATGAGGTAACATTTTTAAAGTTTACTTTAAAAGAGTGTATTATAAAAAAGAAGCTAAGTTAATTGAAACAAAAAATCAATGCACCAAAACCTGTTAATATTTCTTAATTTTCTAATTCTATCAAGATACAATCTATACAATTACCTATAATCAACCATCTCTTTTCCTCCTCTTAAAAATCTATGGGATATCTCTCTTCCTGTTTCCCAGATCCCATTTGTTGAACCTTTGGAACCTGGCCCAATTAATTAATCCTTTCCCTTTCCATAGTTATCTTCAGTGATTTTTCTCTCTTAATGACTGGTTCCTAACAGTGTTCTTTCATCTTGAAACATAGTAACAGCTACCCCAAACAAAAACCAAACCGGTTCCCTCAACTTCAACTTCTCTTTGGCTACAGCCTTCGATCTCATCTCCCCTTTACATTCAACCTTTAAACTCACCAAGGTCCTTTACTCTTATGAATCTACCACAATATGATTATTATCCTTAAGCACTCCACTGCAGCTGCTCTTTCCAAGGTCAACAATTATACCTTTTGATCTTTATCTGTTTTAAGCACTCACTAAATATCTAACACCTATGATTATTCTACATGAAGCAGTCATCTACAAGATTCTTGTTACTGCCACTTCTCATTTTTCTCTTATGTATTCTTAACCTCTTATGCACATTCCCTTTTCAAATTCCTAGCCTAGGACTTCTTCACTTTTTCATTCCATATGCTCACTCTGAATAAGATTACCTTATTCATCTTCAGACACATACAAATCTAGTAGAATGTTCCACAAAAACATGTGAAATTCAACAAATCCAAAAATAAACCAATGATTTCTCATCTTCCATTTCTAATCTAGCTCTGTTTGGTTTACATTCTAAATAGATCTGTAATTTACTCACTTTCAACATCCCCACTGCCATTTTCTTTGTCCAGACTAAGATCTATCGGTGGTTTCTAAAAAAATCTCTTTAACTGGGCCCTACTCCTACACTCTTACCCACAAATCATTTTTTACAATCAGAGTGATTGTCCTAAAATGCAAACCTAATGTTCTCATTTCACATGGTTCTAGTTTTAGGATAAAATCAAACTGATTCTAAAGTCTTCAAGATTCTAAATTACTCTGGTCTCTGTTAACCTCTCTGGCATAATCTCTCATTACCATCTCACCCTATTCCTTCTACACACTAACCCCACACTCCTGCTCCAATGATTTTATCTCATTTCCTTCAACATTCTTTGAGTTCTTTCAGCTATATCTGTGTCCTTACACTATTTCCTCTGCCTAGAACATTCTTTCTCCATGTATCACCTAACCACTTTTACAACTGCCCCCGACCCCCCCCCCCAAAAAAAAAAACCCTCCTTGGTCTTCAGATACAGCTTCTACATCACTTCCTCCAGAAATCTTGCCCTTTCTCTAAGCCAGGGTTAAGGTAACAATATCCTTATCCTTGACTCGATTATGACATTTATTTGGCAGTATTATAATGTCTATTGGCATATTCTTGGGAGACAGTGCCCTGAAAGTTCACAAGACAGAGGCCATGAATGTTCTCACCTCTCTCAATAGGTGTGTGTGTGTGTGTGTGTGTTGCTGAGGACTGAACCCAGAGATGCTTTACCACAGAGCTACATTCCCAGCCCTTTTTATCTTTTATTTTGAGACAGGGTCTCACCAAGTTGCTGAGACTAGCCTCAAAGTTGCAATCCTCCTGCCTCGGGCTTGCTGGGACCAAAAGCATCCACTACTGCATCCAGTCTCAATAATTTTTAAAACCTTCACCGGGATATAATTCACATACAATGAAACACAGGAATTTAAGAACACAGTTAGTAGAGCTTTATCCCAAACCAGGTAATGGAATATTACCATTGACCCTTTCTTCCCACTCTGCCAAAAGTTATTTTGTACCTCTTGCATTCATTTCCCTCCTTCCCACCCAATCAACTGATATGATCTGTAACACCAGAGATTAATTTAGTCTGTTAAAAAAAAGTCATATAAATAAAACCAGACATGTAGTGTTGTATAATCTATCATCTTTCACTTAGCATAATGCTTTTGAGAATCATTCATGTTACTGCACATCAGTAATTAGGTCTTTTTTGTTGCTGAGTAGCATGCCATTGAATGAATGTTTCACAATGTGTTTATCCAAAGATCTCTTAAAAGATATTAGGATTGTTTCCAGGTTTGAACTATTATTAATAAAACTACTATGAACATTAATATACACAGTCTCTTTGTAGACACTGCCTTTTCATCTTTCTTGAATAAACATATGGAAACAGAAATGCAGGGTGATACAGTCTAAGTGTATATTTAACATCATTTAAAAACTGCCAAACTGTTTTTCAAAGTGACAGAACAATTTTAAACTCTCATCAGCAAATTATGACAGTTCTGGTTACTCCATGTCCTCAAACTTAGTACTTGGTGTCAGTCTTTTTCATTTTAGTCACTCTATTGAGTGTAAAGTAACATCTCATTGTGGTTTTAATTTACCTTTTTCCCTAATGACTAAATATGTTCAGTGCCTTTTCATGTGCTGGTTGGTAATTCATATGTTGTTCTGCAAAGTTTCTGGTCAAGTCTTTTACACTTGTTCCAAAGCAACTGATACGTTAGGAAACAAGCTGAATGCAATGTGAATTGCGTATACTTAAATAAAATAATGTCCATAATAGTAGGAAAATTGCATCCAGATAAACCAAACTGCATAGGAATACAGAACACACACACACACACACAGAGAGAGAGAAATGGACCCACTACTTCATGTT